AAAAAAAAACTAATAGGTAGGTTTAAAATTAATAAATACAAATGTATTCTGACAGTGAATGAGTTAATTATGCTTTCTATTTGCAAAATTCCTCAATCTTAACACAAAATAAGAAAAAAAGTGAATTTTTAAGAAATTTGCGGGATTTCCCGGGATAAGAAAAATTTCCCGGGATATTTCCCGGGTTAAAAAAACAACCGGGATCCCGGGATCCCGTTTGAGAAACCCTAATAGTATACACACCAGTGGTGTGCCGTCATTGGAAGCAGTGGAAGCGCCGCTTTCCTTGTATTTTCTAAAACATAAATACATATTGCGCGATTATTCTCATATTTTAACGTATTTTGGATTAAAAGTTATTATTTTATTATAACCGTCTTGTATATCTTATTACAAATTTCTATACTACATGTGAAAAAAGATAAGATTGCTATTGTATATTCGAATATCAGGGACAGAATGGAAGCACTGTATTGTCGAAACTGGATCAGCTTCCAAACAGCCAGATTACACACATTCGCGTATATGCTTTACAGAGCACTAACCTCACCCGGTTTAGTTGGTGGAAGCTACACACATATAACGCTTCCAATGATTCTATCCAGGACCGGTTCTGGGCTGTTAGCCACCTGCCTGCTAGATATTTGGCCGGCCTCGCCCAATTATGTGATTCGCGAGTAGATTTATAACTTAACCCAACCGATAGGAATTTACTGGTATGTTTTTATGATAGTTCTGTAATATTTTAATTCTGCTCTCCCTTCTTATATTACATATTTCAATGTTAAACCAGAGATATTACGATTTAGTATGTCCCATCTCATCTATAAGGGGATGTAGAAGAAAATGTGTACAATTCTTGTACAATGTTAAAGAATTAACTGTTACTTTGGTAGAATCATTTACAACTAAATTTAATGAATGAGAGAGATGCATGAGGTACAGAAAAAGCTCTATAATTTATTTTCCTTAAATTTACGATTTATGTATCCGTTGTCATAAAAATTTGTCTTTCCACTTTTTTTCCCGAGACTACAAATATTCGTGTACAAAGTAACCGGTTTCGACTTATTTCTACTTAATTAAGTAGTAGTTAAACAATTAAGCGATTAGGGAATTGGGGACAAACAAAATCCTGCTGAAAGAGCCGGAATTGTACTTAAACAAAAGCTTAACTGAACCAATCTCTAGCTGAGTACAGTGGAAACTGATTTCTTCGTTATATTAGATAATAAAGACAGAATTTTTTCCAGTTCGACGAGAGTGACCAAAAAGTTGTAAATTTTGGAAATTTCCGTGGACATGTGGTCCTAAAACGAATTAGTTAGAAAACAAATGACTATTAAGTTTAACATATTTAGATTTTTACAGCTATGGCGAGAAACGTTTAAAATTTACAATAACCCTGTCGCCTCCTTTGAGATATACTAGTGATGCAACAAAAGAAGTATTTGACATTGACCGGTATCGGCACCCTCGGGATTTGGCAGTCCACGTGCCGTGCAACCTACTCTGATTCCATCCATTAACCACTCGTAGGGAGCTATTTGACTAAGTGGATTGTTTTAAGATTTTAAAATAAAATAATATTTTATGTTATTTTTATGTACGTTTCATTATAAAGCTATATTTAATTATAATTTTCTTTAAAAGTATATTCATACATTTGAAGAATATTTTGTACCAGGTATGTACTGTACATATATCCACCATACATTTTACCAAGTAAGTTATTATTATTTTACTTTAAATTGTAGCCCTTATATCGTGGCTAGCGATCCAGAATGTAATTGTGATATGAAAAATACATTTAGAAGTCTACGGATTTTACTGGCTTATCGAACAAACGAATACGAATGGACCCTAGACCAGTGTTCCGCAACCTTTTTCTATTTGCGGCACACCCACGACTCAACACGGCACACCAAAATGTTATTCCCCTCAAAAACGTATGATATGATACTATTAATAGAATTACGTAATGCCACTAACCTATTATTATTGTTATTAAAAGACATCAACACCTGTGAGCAAATTTATTTTACATATAATTTCTTAGAATACATAAAAATGCGTGGCTTGTAATAAAGAATATACAATCATCATCTTATTTCATCGGTGCTGTAGCAGAGAATGAAATACAAGCTTAAGAAACACAAAAACTGTGATAAAAATATATAAATAAAACTTGAAATTAACAGAATATGTAAAAGTTTACGTCACACCTTTCACCATGTGATGGCACACCAGTGTGCCGCGGAACACTGCCCTAGACGATCAGGCGCAATTAACTGATTGCCCCTGGAAGTTGGCTTCTTACAGAAACACAGCTTCCCTATCATCAAATGTCACGGCATGCCACTGATACACACAGTATACTATTAAGTATGATGAATATAACAGCCTCTGTAAATAGTATTTGAGTGTATTTACTTACTAGTACCATCAAACACATTTAGAGAGCTGGATGGCCAACCAGTTAAGCTGTCAGCCTACTGCTCTAGGAACCCAGAATGAATCCAGACAAGTCAAAACACCAAGAATTTTTCACGGAAAGGACCACTCTATATATGACAAGCCCTGTCCATCATTTTGCTGGCTCACAGCTGACTTGATTAAAAGGTCCTCATGCATCTTTAGCATTGATACACTTAGAGATTTTGGTTGATTTGTCTATCTCCTACAATTCCAGTTACTTTAATTTGGAAATATTACTAGACTGGCATATTAAAGCCAAACAATTACTGGATTAAATCAGGACTATACTACTGCCACTTATTAATAGTGGTAATGTAGCCCAATTTAATCCAGTAATTGTTTGGCTTTAATATAATTATCAGACTTTGAGATGTTTATATAAAGAAACGTATTGATCTAACTCTCTGGAAATCCACATGAACATCCAATATCAAACTCTAGGTAGCCAAATCTGTGACAGAATGATCCTATTTAATTTTACTATTTACTATTTAAATTTACTATTTAATTGTATAGTACATTTATCTTCCTTTAATCTTGCAGAAAGATATGGCACCAAGTATTTCAAGTGTAATCTCAACTGATCATCACCAAGTGGAATATTATATAAACCCGGTATCTTGGAATGCTCTTTCTTTTCACTCTTTTAATGACTTTAATAAATTTGTTCCTGAGGTAGATCTTTAAAAATAGTCTAAAACATTTGAAATAAATAAATTTGCTGGAGTTTTATGGTTTTTATATAAATCATATTAACAAAAACTGAATAACAAATTATCCAGGCAGAGGCGAATTAAATGATGGGCAAACTGGGTGGCTGCCTGGGACCAACGAGCCCACAAGGGCCTTCAAGATTCTTGATCTTTCCATTACAAAATACTACAATATAAAATGATAAAATAATAACTGATTTCAAATTCATTTCTGAATTTCAAATTTGATGAAAAAGAGGTTAAAAAATATACTAGTGATAAATTTGAAGAAAGAACAACAAAAAAGCAAAATATTACCTATACAATTTGTGATCACATGATGATAAAATTTTATCACAGAAAACAAGCATATAAAGACACTTTGCAAAATTTCAAAATATTCTTCATGCTTTCATTCTATGCCAGAAAATGAAAAAAAAAAAAAGAGAATGCATTAAAGAGATTTACAAGAAAGATATAAATATAAATTTGAAGATAAAGTTTAATAAACTGGAAAAATTGTTCAAGAAGGTAAAGAATATTCACATACTGACACTTATAAAGTTGGATCAGACATGATACAAACATTTCCCAATGTAGAAATTATTTTAAGAATATTTTGAACATTACCTATATCAAATGATTTGGCTGAACTATCTTTTTCCTGTCTAAAAAGAATTAAAAATTGTGTAAGAAACAAAATGAATGAGGACCAGTTAAATTCCATGACAATTCTCTATATTGAACATGAATTATTAAATATAAGCAACTATGATGACTTTATTGAAGAATTTGCAATAGAAAAGTCTCAAAAAAAGAATATTTAAACTTGATTTTTTTATGTATGAATGAAAAGAATGTTTAAAGAAAATTAAAATAAATGTATTTATAAAATAATATAAATGAAACATAAACTTATTGTCTTGAGATCTAATGTTATGTAACTAAATCTAGTAATTGTGATCTAAATGTAATAATAAAAGTGTAAAGTAAATAATTGTCATTATCTTTTTTTTCATCAAGGGGCTTAATTTAATAGTAATTAATAAATGAATCCTTTACATAAAAATCACTATGTATATTGAGAAAGTTATCAAATTAGATTAAGTAATCTCATCTATACACACTGTAAAATATATGACTTACTTCTGACTCGAAACCAAAACAGTGCTTAGTTCAATATACCTTCACTAACATTTTCAAACTTAGTTCTTCTTCAGGTGAATAAAAGAAAATGGGCAGAATCAATGTTATTCGAACATATCTGTTTCGCACGGGTTTCCTTAGAACACTGCGTTTCAGAATTCGTATGAAAACGTTAGTGAAGGTATATTGAACTAAGCACTCTTTTGATTTTGAGTCAGAAGTAAGTCACAAATTAGATTAGTTTAAGTAAAAATAGTAAAATAAACTATGGCCGGCGTTAATTACATTTTTAAAAAATTGTATAAATACAAAACGACATATTCACAAAGGTAAAAAAACCTTGCTTCTGTCTATCTTTCCGCCATTTATACACTATCAGCAATCCTTAAAAACAATTCACAAGTTTCCGAGACGACCTTCTTTTTTTAGGCTACTAGATTAGTTTAACAAAATAGGGACCATTTCAAATTTTATTGCCCAGGGACCCCAAGTACATTAATTTTGTTTGATTTATATAAAAATATTAATTTTCTTATTCTTACATAAATATTTGCATTAACTATAATAAAATAATTAAATTATAAAATTTATTGAATGTATTCTATTTTTTTTTATAATTACAATTAACTTTAATATTTGCTATTTGTACCTGTTCCAACATTGATGAAAATTTATTAATTCATTGCAGGAAGAAAATGACTCTAAAATGGTTATCCTTAGTGTTAATTAAAATTAATGGTAAGTTAATTTACTAAAATGTGAACTACTTACAAAGAATCAGGAGAATATTCAGGTTTTTCCATTCTGTAACCTTCACTTAACTTCTTAAAGAACTCTTCATTTAAATCTATGCCAGGATAAGGATTTCGTCCTAAAGTAAATATTTCCCATAATAATATTCCAAAGGACCATCTGAAATAGAATCAAATAAATTTTGCATTTAATAATTACTCCATCAGTACTCATAATTTCAGATCATCATAGAATAATCAGTATATGATTTCATATTTATTATAATTATTATGTTTTTGTTAAGAAATAAATATAAGGTTGAAAATGGACAAAACACAAATAAACAATGATATTTTTCTTCTGTTAAATCAACTGTGAATAGATCAATAAAACTTTTGTAAAAGAGAGAATTACAAAATTAACAACAAAACTTTGGTTAATTGAAAGTTTTTAAAGTTAAAACAAAACAAATGTATCTATGAAACAAAAAAGAATAGATTATTTAAATGAAAAAAGTTCTCACTCTTGGAGGGGCCTCGCGCAACAACCAAGTAGAAAAAAGTTGATATTTAAAACTTTTTATTTTATCCTTGGCTATTAGTTATAACAATAAAATTAATTTAATTTATAGTACAGTATATATTAATAAGTGCCTACTATTTCAATTTATATACTTTAATTTCAATTTATATACTTTAATACCTTGTAACAGACATTAAATGTATATGGTGATGGAAATAAATTCAAAGATTTTGAAAATTTTTTGTGTTTATTTGAAATTTACGAATTTATGAAATAACTGCATAATTAATAGATTTATTCCACTAATACTTAGAATAGATCCAACCAACCTTCTAAATAAAATATTGTAAAAATCATAATAAGATAAAACATATTATTAATATCAATAATTTATATATAATATGCATTTTTAAAGTAAGATCTGTTTTGAAATAAGAAAAAACATGAAAGATAAAAATAATTTATTATAACCAAAGGAAATTATTTCTATTATTTTTCCATGTAGCCATAAGACTGACTTGTCTGCAAAGCTGGTGTAAGCACAACAGCTTAAGCATCAGTCCTGACAAAAGTGTTATTGTTCTCTTTATTCACAAGAGAGGTTTATAGAGTTTCTCTAAATCTTTTCTCTGTAACAAGGCTGCAGTTTCTTCCTTAGTCAAGTATAGTACCTTCAAGTTTTACTCAACTTTACCCTGTTATGGATGTTACACCTTGAGATGATGCTACACAAAGCTAGACATATCTTTCTTCTAGTTATGTAGAGGTACCCAAGGCAAAACTCAGGGTCTACAATCATGTGTCCTCTTTTGAAGTTTTATGATAATGGATCAAATATAAAATAGTTATGCTACCATAATTTGGTGGCCTAGAGTACTTTACAAAGACTATCAAACTAAGCTTCAAAGTCATCATGCTACATGCCTTGCTATTAATAAGTCCATACCTATGTCTCCAGGTTCTATTGGGTCTTGCTCCTCTGCTCTTGTTTATTCAGGCTGAGGAAAGGAATGCCATTTGTAGGCTCAAGTCGACTTACTTCTAAACCAAGTACTAAGGTGTATGTTGAAGGAAGGAAGTCCTTTTGATGGGGTCTGACAGAATTTTACATTGATTTGTGTTTGACAAGCATTATCTGGTTTCTTTTCCCACTTGACTTGACTGGCATATAGCTAGGATGATCTTTTGTTCACAGCATATAGTGTGATTAACAGATAGATCCAAAACTGACAGCAGTGGCGGCCTTAGGGGGTGGCGAGCAGGGCAATCGCCCGGGGCCTCACTCTTGGAGGGGCCTCACGCAATAACCAAGTAGAAAAAAGTTGATATTTAAAACTTTTTATTTTATCCTTGGCTATTAGTTATAACAATAAAATAAATTTAATTTATAGTACAGTATATATTAATAAGTGCCTACTATTTCAATTTATATACTTTGCACAAAGGACAAGAGCCTCGCAAAGATCTGCCGCCCAGAGTCTCGCAATGGATAAGGCCACCGCTGACTGACAGTGGCACAAATGTTGACATTTGTGAAGGATAGTCACATAGGGGCTTTTTTTTTATCCCAATGGATAGTTTCCCACAATTTTGCAAGAAGCAGTCCTAGCTATTATTTAGTGTGTTTACACTATTTTGCAAACACACTAAATAAAAAGACAATTCTTGTTAAAAAGATCATCTACATTGTTTCTGAGTTGATTCTTGTATTCTTGTAAAAGTAGTTGATTCTTGTCAGTTACTTTAGCATTTGTTTGAGAATGCTGCTTGAGCTTCAATGAGCTAGCTACCAATAACAGAGTTTTTCTCTTGTGGTTGCTAGGACATGAGGAAATTGCTGGCAATGTAAGTGTTGTTTTATTGGCCAAACAAGGTGCTTCTTATCCCTTTGTAGAGCCCAAACCAGCTCTTGATATTTCTTATACTTTCTTTAGAGCTGTTAAAGATTGAACTATCTCCAATCATTCTAAGAAGTATAGGTTAGCTCCTGGTTTAAAGCAGAGTAAGACTAGTTTGCCCAGAAAGCAGGCTAGGCAATCTTTACCCATCCTGAAATATTAAATGAAATAGACACCAACACACACATACATACATACATAAATACATATTCATGGAATTTTTTCCTGTTGTTTTGACTTTTTTGAATTCAGGGTGTTTCAAAATGTGGAGATTTGCAAAAATCTTGGAGGGTCANAAGAAAATTCTAAAAATATTACTTTAACTCAAACAGCTGTAAAATACTGAAAATTTTCAATTAATACTTTACGCTTAATAATTTATTTTAAATATTTCACAATTACGTTTATATCTAAATGTACTGTTCGTAAAACGTAATAACTATTAACGAAAGATAATAAAAAGTTTAAGTTATACGAAAAATAGAAAATTAAATTTTACATAACAGATGAACTATTTGTGTGATCTTACCTTCTTGAAATTCTTCTGATCCAATTGAATTTTCCACAACATAATTAAGTTGTGAAAGATTTGTGTTTACTTCAAATTTATGTTCATCAAACAAAAGTGAATCCAATTTATTTTCTGCCATTTCTTGGCATAAATCAAGAACACTTTCAGGTTGCACTTTAATAACTTTTTCTTCAACTATTTTGCTATAATTATCAAATGAAGAAATATCATCTACGTGTTTATTCCTATTTGTCGCAGAAAGTTCTTCAGAAATACTTGACATCGTAAAATCTAATAAGTGTTAAAGAAGGAAAATAAAAAGTTTGAAGTTATACAAAAAATAAATCGAACATTCGATAACAGATGAAATATTTGTGATCTTACCTTCTTCAAGTTTTTCTGATCCAATTGCATCTCCCACAACATCTTTAAGTTGCGAAAGTTTCGTATTCACTTCATATTTCCTTTCATCAAATTGAAATACCTGTACGTCCAATTCATTTTCTGCTATTTCTTCATATAAACCAAGATCACTTTCAGGTTGCACTCGAATAATTTTTTCTTCGACTCTTTCTCTAGAATTATTGAATGCAGAAATTTCGTCTACGTGTTTGTTCCAACTTGTCGCAGGCAGATCGTCAGAAACACTTGACATCGTATCCGATTTTATTATCAAATCTGATATGTATGATTTAATATCAGGATAAGTGGAAGTTGCAGTGATTGATACCAATTCGTATGTTTCATCATTTTCTGGTTGATATTGAGCCATTATTAACATATTTTCATCGATATCAGACTCGTCAAATATTTGATTTTTGTTCATGTCATCAGAAAGTTCGTCTTCAGTTGACGTTGTATCTGAGTCTATACTATAAGCACTTTCTGACAGATCATCTGTTGAGTCAGGCTCTTCTTCATATATTATTTCCGATACTAAAGAATATGTTTCCGGTTCAATGAAAGCATTAAATACGGTCGTAATCTAATGTGTTCGTGTTGATTTGAACTGATTTCTGCTGAAGAGACAGGAACATTTCGAATGTTTTCCTGAAAAATAAATTTACAAATTTTCTCATAAACTATAAAATATTTGACATGAAGTGAAGAATAATACAATAATTATTTAACAGTTTTGTTTTAACGGCCAAATGGCCGAGCAACGTGTTCATAGGCATCGGAAAGTGATCGAAATTGCTATTAAAGACATTACTAAAATCGTACGTTTTTCATGTTAACCAACAGAAATAACAAAAATTAAATCATGATTAACAATAATATATTTATCGTTGTTGTTGTAATTTTTGATTAAAGAATCATCTGCAATCTTTACATACAGTCGACCCCCCTGGAACATATAAAACAGTATTGATTATTCTGTTTTATATGAATTCCATGTTGTAAGAGTCACTTAGATTTTACAAATACGTGAGCCGTTCACAGTCCGGCAGATGTATTTGTAAAATCTAAGTGACTCGTACAACATGGAATTCATAAAACGGAATAATCAACACTGTTATAGGGGGTCGACTGTATTATATTAAGAATGACATTTTCTACATTACGAATCTTCACACGTAGAACTTTTAATCATACATATTTTTATGCAAATCAAAGTTTCGCGTCAAATTAGATTTATTATTTATAAATATTTTACAGTATTATTCTTACAAGTAACAGTTACAGGAAACATTTTATAATGAAAAAAGTAAATGGCGAATAAAATCAGAATATGAGTAATATATATACAGTAATAAAATACAATAATTCTTAAGCAATGTTTAATACTTAGACAACATTTTACGGATATTTATCAGTAATAAATGTGTAAATGATATCAGAATGAAAAAGTTTGTCTGAAATAATTTTAATTAATTTAAACTTACAGCAGGAGACTCTTCTGTTTCATTGGACTCACTAAAAATTTCTTCATTTATGCAGTCTGCAGTTTTATTTTCGAAGAGTATTTCTTCTTCATCTTGTGTAATATTTTTCACTGCATTATATACAGCAGGACCGTCATGATTCGAGTCAGTTTCCTTCATTTCAGAAACTAAAGTATTCCAAAACATTTAAAAAATTAACAAAACTTAGGTTAGAAGAATTCAAATATTATATAAGCATTAGAGAAAAGTAAACGAAAGAAAATTAAAATTTGTACTTGGAATAAATTTATCAAATCAGTAGTTAAGAAAGATGCTTTTGAGATTTATTTGAGAATATCTAACCTGTTTGTGGTTTTTACACTATAATTTTAATGCTTGGCGTAAGTTAAAAAGTATTACTCGTATATAATTATTATTATTGTAAACCTATACATAAAGCATAACCAATATATTTTTATTGTATTGTATATTAAGCAATTTATATATAAATGCATTATAATTGTATATAACTTGCTATAATATTAATATTTGTGTATCGATGGAGAAATAAAATAACGGCATGTTGAATAATTGTAATACAGAAAACTAAATATAATTCTTTAATAAGATCTAAAAATAAGACGTAAACGTCTATTATAAATAAAGTCTTTGTCTCCCACATGCATTAAAAAACTCTTCATTACAATAATTTCCATTTTATAGTTGAACATAAATTTTTTGTCATTATAAGTTTTATATTTATGTTCTACGTTATTAACAAAAATTATAAATATCTGAATTCATTCAAAATAAATTGTCTAAATTTCTTGCATCGGCTTTATTCCCTGATGAATGATGTTATCATTTTCAGTTAGCTAAATAGTGTAATAAAAACTATATCCAGCAATATCGAAAAATAGAAATATAATTTAGAAAACAGCAAATATAAGTTTTCTACAAATGTGCTCAAAAGCCTAATTGCAGTGCCAACATCGAGCTCTATAAACAGTCAAAAGCAACAGGTTCAGTGATATCTCGATATGTCTTTTTGATAGTAATGCAATTAAAATTGTATTATAGAGATTTTGGCTGAATTGCCTTCCAGACCATTGTAACGATTATAGAGATACAATCTAGGCATTCCTTTTTTGTCACTGGCTTCGTGAACGGTTATATAAAATTTAGCTGTATATGTTAACATTAATATTAAATTATTAGTAAAATAATATTCATAAAATTTACCGTTAGGTTGCTGATCGGCCGCATCTAAGAGAAACTGAAAATTTTCTGACGCTATATGCAGGTTTGGTTCTAGCGCTTTTGAAGAATTAAGAGATGAAGAGTTATATCCGGAAAGTTCTGTTTGTTTTCCATATTCAAAAAGTACATATGGCTGCTTCTGATCTCCGAATAACAATGGCACCAGACAATGTTGTAACACTTCTGTTGGTGGCGCATAATGCTGTGGTTTTGATGTCTGTTCATGCTCTTTCATTTCCGGGGGTGTCCAATATTCGGTTATTATTGGTTGAGATTCATACCGAATAGTTTCAGGATAGGAGCAATAATCATTCGTTCCTGTGGGCCGTTTATCTTCATTTATTTCAGAATACGGCAAATAGTCATTCGTATGTGATGGCCGTCCATATTCGTACCCCTGAGGATACGGCCAAGAATCAGTTGTTTCTGAAGTCCGTCCATATTCATTCGATTGAGGATACGACCAATAACAATTATTTGTTTCTGAGGGCCGTCCGTACTCATTCACTTCAGGATATGGCCTATAATCAGTTGTTTCTGAAGGCCGTCCATATTCGTTCGCTTGAGGATACGACCAATAACAATTATTTGTTTCTGAGGGCCGTCCGTACTCATTCACTTCANATGTCCTCAGAGTTTGACTTTTTGGATTAGATATTGATGCAATTTGATTTTGCAAGATTTCAAGGCGATACAAAGAAAGTTAAATAAAAGCATTAAAAAAGTTGATAAACAAAATAAAACTCCACTTAGAATTATTTTCATACAAATCTAAATATTAAATTCAATATTAAATTTAGAGAGAGAATATTTTCTTAGTAAATCTGAAAATTATTTGAACCTAATTGTGTGCAATAATAATCATTGTACTATGTTTCAATATGAAATAAGGAAACTAAATAAATTTAATAAGCAATAAATATTAAATTCAATATTAAACAGTCAACAAGTACTTAATATCTAGTTTTCTGCAAAACAATTTTGTTTTACTGAAAACTATCAACATAATAGAAAATACATTCTGTCGAAATGTTTGTAAAATGAAAATTTCATATATCCTATTCTAAACAATGTAATAGAAAATATTTTAATTTTTATAGATTTATTTTCTTCAATAATATTTTTATGAAATATTTTAAAAAGCAAAGTATTTTCATTTAGAATTCTATAAATGTATCAATTAACACTTATAAAAAAAATTTAAAATAATTATATGAAAATTGATATTTTTATTTTCATTAAAAAATGTCCATTTTGATAAACTACATTGTCAAAAACAAATATAATATCTCAAAAAATAAATATTAAGTCAAACGTTTGGAAACTAGTTCTCTAGCAAAACAATAAAAATTAGGAAAATTCCAGATATATACTTCATATGCCTGGATAATTATCTCTCACTACTGAAGAACAGGGCCATAAAGAGCTTTTATTGGATCCAGGGTATAGTGAGCCCCTTTTGCCATCTGTTTTTTAAACAAATGAAACAAGTAGAATGTTTCTTTATTAATAAATAGAGTTTTAAAGATTATATTTTTTTTAGGGTTTACAGGGATAAGAACCACTATGGGTTCAAGTGTTCTCTAGACCTGGAGAAAATCTCCAGTTTCCCATCTAGATGGCTCTGCTGAAGAGTGTATTGATCTTCAAGTGATGAAAATGATCAACTTTTTAGTATGAAGCAAGATGGCCAAATGGCTGAGGCAACGAAGACAATGAAGACAGCCTATTGATCTGGAGCCTGAAGATTGAATCCAGGTGAGAATCTCTCCAGAAATTTTCATTGGTGATATGTCAGGTTCCATCTCCCGCAATCTTGCTGCCTCCATTGTGGCCTAGCCGAACCCACAATGACTATGGAAAAAAGGCCCTTTTAGTGCCCACAGGTTGGAAATAGTTAAAAACAGAGATATACAATATGTCCAAGAAACACTGGACAAATTTCAAACAGTTCTATTGAAAAAGTAAACAGAATTAGAAGAGTAACTTTCAAATATTCAAAGTAACACAAGAAGTGTTTTTCATTTTCAATATATTTTATTATACTTAATCCCAAGATCCAGTGGTGTGCTGTTCATGGAAGCTGTGGAAATGCAGCTTCCTTTGTATTTTCTAAAATATAAATATATATTGTGTGATTATTTTCATATTTTAACATACTTTAAATTACTTAAAATTAATATTTTATTATNGTTGTTTCTGGAGGCCGTCCATATTCGTTCGCTTGAGGATACGACCAATAACAATTATTTGTTTCTGAGGGCCGTCCGTACTCATTCACTTCAATATATGGCCTGTAGTCAGTTGTTTCTGATGGCCGTCCATATTCATTTACTTCAGGATATGGCCTATAATCAGTAGTTTCTGAAGGCCTTCCATATTCATTTACTTCAGGATATGGCCTATAATCAGTTGTTTCTGAAGGCCGTCCATATTCGTTCGCTTGAGGATACGACGAATAAGAATTATTTATTTCTGAGGGCCGTTCGTACTCATTCACCTCAGGATATGGCCTATAATTAGTGGTTTCTGATTCTGGACGATATCCAAAATCGTTCACTTGAGATCCATTTTGCCAAAATTCTGGCACCGAGCCGTATCCAAACATTTCTCTCCAGAAGGCATCATATGGAACTCGTATTCTATACTAAAATAACAAGCGTAAAATTCATTAATATTTAAATTGTACATATAAATCCTATCTTTTATCTATAATATTTAAAAGAAGTTANGGAAGCTGTGGAAATGCAGCTTCCTTTGTATTTTCTAAAATATAAATATATATTGTGTGATTATTTTCATATTTTAACATACTTTAAATTACTTAAAATTAATATTTTATTATAACCGCATTATGTATGTTATTACAAATTTCTATACTACATGTGGAAAACAATAATAAGATTGCTATTGTGTATTTGAATATAAGTTTGTATATGCATATTCCCAATTGAAACGCTATATTGTCGAACGTGGGATAGCTTCCACGGCAAAAATATTTGAATTGTGTAAAGCAGTCAGATTATATGCATTCATGCATGCGCTTTACAGAGCACCAACCTTATGCGGTTTAGCTCATGGATGCTACACACCAAAATATTGTATAATCCCCTATTCTCATTCAGATTCTTAAAGAGATTCGTAAAGAGAGGCAAGACACTGTGATCAGATGTTCCCAGCCACTAAGCTCTCATATGAGTCAGACATATGGAGTACCCACCCAAGCCTGAGGGTTGGAATTGGATGGGATGTTGGTGAACTGACATTAAGCAATGTTGAAATCTACACCGATAGTTCAAAAGACAGCAACCAAGTAGGTGCTGCGTACTGCATCTATAATGACAGAGTTTTAGTTGTACAGTTTGTCAGTCAGACTGTATGAGGAGTTGTCAGTGTTACAGGCCAAACTGGTGACTCTTTTGGGAGCATCCCAGTGGATCTTACTCCAACTGGGTCCTAAGCCAGTCATAGTATACTCTGAGAGGAACAGGAAGTTAAAGGAAAGGCTTGACCCATGATATAGCTTTGGCAAAGACAGGGAGATAGGTATGGTTAATTAGAGGATGAGGTGGGGTGGGAATGAGAAGGAAAAAAGGGTATACTCTGACAGAAAGTCGTCACTTCAGGCTTAGAGTGACAGGTACCACAGAGATCAATTGGTAGTGGAGATCACAAGTAGGGTACTGGGAAAAAATGGATCAAGAATCTCGTAGGAAATGGGAACTTTCCCAAAAGAAGACAGAACACCAACATTTAAAGATATAACTTCATTTTTGGAACAATGAGCTAGAGCACTGGCTGTTTCCCAAACCAATATTCACTCTGGTCGACCAAGACCAATAGGAGTGCCACCATCCAGACTTTGCCCATTTTTACAGTCCAAGCAATTAATTGCTGCAGCACACCATGGTATTGCACAACTGGCATGTCCCATTTGTCATGGTACACATCTAGTTTTCAAGTGTTCAACATTTTTGGAAGCATCAGTAAAAGAGCAGAGAAATTTAGTTAAGAAGCATGGTATCTTTGTTACTCCTAATGCTAGATTTGAGCATGTCCACATAGACTTAGTGGGACCCTTACCTTCATCGAATGAATACAGATTTTGTCTCATCTGCATGGACTGTTTCTCTAAGTAGCTGAAAGTATTCTCTTTAGTTAAAAGTACTACACAAGCAGTAGTGGAGACTTTCTACTCAGGATGGTTTTGGTTTGTCACTGCACCTGACAACAGATCAAGGAGTCCAGTTTGAATCTTCGCTTTTCTCAGCTCTCACTTCTTGGATGGGGACTAAGAATTCGCACAACTCCTTACCATCCATCTGCAAACAACTAAGTAGAGCAATTCCATCACCATCTCAAATCAGCGATAATGGTACATTCCATAAACCAATAGACCGCTACAGTCCCTACAGTACTATTGGGCTTCAGAGCTGCTTGGAAGGATGATATCCAGGCAACAACAGCCGAGATGATCTACAGAGTGTCCCTATGTTTACCAGGTGAGTTCCCCTCCCCAGTTAAGGACCATCCTGACCTGGCTACCTTCATTGGTAGGCTGAGAGAGGAAATGCAGAAAATTAGACCTGTATCACGTCTTCCCAAGAAAACAGCAGTGTTCGTGCATAAAGATCATGCCACCTGTTCCCATGTCTTCTTGCAAACTGACATAGTCTGAAAAGGGTTACAACCACTGTACAAAGGACCATATTGTGTATTGAAGTGGGAAAACAAAAACTTTAAGATATTAGTGTGAAATCAACATATCAACGTTAATATCAATAGATTCAAGCCAGCCTACATAAGTAAAGGAGGACACGGAGAGCACTCCGGAAAAAACAAAACTCAACCAGTTGTTGAGACCAACCCTCACACTCCAACGGCTAAAGCAGCAGATTCGCAACAACAACAGGACACATTAGTCACGTCAGGTCATTGAGATTCAACCCTAGATACTTGTAATATCTATATATATAACCCATTCAACGGGTGTCCGTCCGCGTAACCGCTTGATAACAGACACTAGAGGCGCCCCTATCGTGTGTCATATTTCAAACATTCAAATTAACAATTTTAATTATTATTTAAATTAACAATATAAATTA